GCGTTCCGCCATGCACGTCTGTAGGTTTGCCGTGATCTTGAGTTCTGCCCTGGTTCTGTCAAAATCCCCCTCCCCCTCCCTCCCCAACCCCCCCCCCCCCCTTTCCTTCCCCCTTAAGCTTCCCCTTTTCCCCCTCTCTCTCTCTCCCTCCCCAACCCCCCCCCCACCCTTTCCTTCACGTTTAAGTGGTCGCGGCGGGCGACTGACGTACGTGTTGCTGGGGGAGATGGCGAAGGCGGTCAGTAGTGAGGAAAACGGTGGAGGCAGCCATCAGCGGGCAGGTGTGGAAGATGGCAAAGGCCACCGGCAGCTGACAGCGGGGCAAATGCAACCCGACACATTAGTAGGCTGTACATTTTGGAGTTATTGTTGTGTCACTCGAGTTGCCACAGCCAGTAACACCCACCTAAGTCTTGCTGCGCGACCTGACAGCCGACATCGTTTGCAGGCATGATCGGGGAACGGCGCAGGTGGGGCCCTTATGACGATTAGCAAGATCTGTAGTATTGCATAAAACCTCAGTGGCTCATAGAACGATAACTTGCAGGTAAAACCTCGGTGGCTCATAAAACAATAAACCAAAAATATGATGCACAAACTCCACTCCAGCAAGCATTCAATCTGCTTTCCAGAAAGAGGATAGCCCCTACCCAGCAGGATGTGGACTGGACCTGTTCATTAACCCGCCAGCACCCTGACCGCCTATTGTTTGGACTTCCTGAACTCAATGGGGCCTCCGGCAGGGTTCGCCGAGGCACAGTAGAGGCTTGAGCAGGCCTCGTCTCAAAAGTTGGGAAGGCCACAAAACAAAACGGGCCTAGCTAGCTAGCTAGCTAGCCTGCTATACCTTTCTCGGCCTTTTGGCTAAGACAGGCCAAGCTCAGTTGGCACAGTGTAGTATCTGTTCTGCTCAATTCAATATCTGATCTGTAGTCCATCGGGGCACATTATTAAAAAGAAAAACCACGGGCCTAGATCAGTTGGTACACCCAATGAACTGTTGAAATATGAATCAGACCCCAAGTTCAAATCCAGATGCAATCAGATGACTGGAATAAAATAACCCTGAATTACCTGGGGCCAGTCAGTTCAATGATGATATCTCAAGGCCATCGCCTTTTTTTTTAAACGAAAAGGGGCGGGGGAGGTGGGGGGAGGAGGACAGGGGAAGGAATAGGCAACAGAAAAGGAAAAGGAGACAAAAGGAGAAAAACATGACCGAAAAACAAAAAAACGTAACCGGAAAAGGGCATGAAAAAGGAATAGGCGACAAGAAAAACAGCCCAATGAATTAAAATTTGAAACACTGTAGGTTCTTCCAACTGCTCAGGAAACTGATGCAGGTAAGTTCGGGAACATGTTTGCAAGGGTACTGATGTTTTACAAGTTACATGCGTATGCGTACCATCTGGGCATCACTCAGCTACATACATCTCAATCGTGCTTCCGTCTGTGGGAAGACGCACCCATATTTTTTCAGTTTCACGAGTTATACGATGAGCTATCGTTTAGAAAAATAGCAGTCGCCCTTGACAATGCCAGAAGCATTTAGCAATCAAACAGCACTTGTCATACGTCCACTCCTGGCATCACTGTGGACTTTAGCCAAAGCCATCAACAGCATCATTTGGCATTCGTAGAAGGATGCAATTACGAGAGAAACCAAAAGCCCTCATCAGCATCATTTGGTATTCGTAGAAGGATGCACTTACGAGAGAAACGACAGACTCCTAAGTCGAGAGCGAAGTAGCCGCAACCCAAGATGGCGCCACAGGACTAACGCAACTTGCGCACTGCTGGCTTTGGTCACAGAAGCATATTGACGATTTTTGTGTAGCTTCACTTACTTGTGTTTGGTTTCGTTACGCAGGACAATACTTCCCGAGCAATTTGATTTTATTATTTTGTCCTCGGCATGAGTATCCTCATTTTCATCATCATAACCACCACCAAAGTCTCAAGAAGAAGAAAAGGAAAAGGGGGAGGAGGAGGAGGAGGAGGAGGAGGAGGAGGGGGAGAATCCCTTGAAGCACCATTCCCAGGTTTGGTCAGTTGCAGTAAGAACAGCAATAAAAACTACGGAACAATGGTCGAAATACCAGTCACGCAAGTACAGGCACAACTGCTGTGATAGTGGCACTCACTCAGAGAGCACAGTCAATAAGAGTACAATATTAGGGTCTTCATCTGCTCTCGCATCAGATAGACGTGAACATAAAGAAGCAGAAGGAGGAGGAGAATCCCTTGAAGCACCATTCACAGGTTAGGTCAGTGGCAGTTAGAGCAGCAAGGCAAACTACGGAAAAATGGTCGACAGACCAGTCATGCATGTACAGCCACAACTTCTGTGATGGTGGCACTCATTCAGAGAGCTCAGTTGATAAGTGTGTAAACTATGTGAGTTCTTCATCTGCTCTCACTTGTTTTCACTACAGTTCTGAGAAAGCAACGACTCATCAGCATCAGCTAGAGATGAACATAAAGTTCCATGGGACAGCCCTTAATGCAACCAAGCACCTCACAGCACTCCACAATCAATGGTGTTGAAAATTGGACGTTTTTGAAAGGGGACAAGTTCAGTGATCCCACCTGCCGAGGCAAAGAATATTTGCAAAAGTGTACACGATCGCAAACCTTGTCGGGCTAAATAAGAGGAGGGAAGACTGCACAGGTACACAATCGAAAGCAAAACACCATTTCTCAATATGCATGAAAGGAAATCACAGTGGTCAATGCACATCTGTTGTTAGAAGATAACGCAGGTCTCCTCTAAGACGAGCCCAGCGAGAACAGAAATCTCGTGTGGAGCAAAAATGGCAAACGCTCATAAAAAATAAAAAAAGCATTATGAGCACAACTTTCCCAGCCAGCAAAGCATCTTTGACCCATCTAGGAACCTGGACCGGTTTCTCAGTTTTCAATGGGTCACTGGCACTCACATAACCATATGCAAATGAACCCAAAAAAAAAAAATTTAAAAATAAAAAGAAGGCACATCCAACGTCTTCTTCAGAGCTGAGGTGAACACCCAGTACACAGAAAGACTGGAAAAACAAAAGCGACAGGCATCAAGATCAGCCCATTAAAACCAAGTGCCAAGAACATCCATTGCTCGCAGGGACATACAGAGGCAACTATGACCCCAGTCCATACTAGTGCTGCTATTGCTCGCATTAACAACGACAAAGACAATGACAATGATGACAACAACAACAACAACAAGACTGGCAAAGAGAGCATCCCAATCCAGACCCAAAAGGTTCCCCACATTGTAGAAACTTTATGAGCTCAGTCCGAAAATCCCTAAGCGAGGAGCAGGAAAGCGGACATAGTTTGCATCACTGTGCTTGAAAAGGATGAGCAGAGGCATCCATCCATCCACTGTCAGAAAGCACAAGAAGACAGAAGTGGAGTGGGTAAAAGGAAACAGCTGCAAAGATATGGAACCGGAAAAAAAAAAAAGGAAAGGAAGAAGCAGACATAGAGCCTGCAGAGAGAGTGGCGGACATCCCTGAGGGACAAATCACACATTTTGCTCATGCAAGTCCAAGGTGGTGGGGATTAAAGTGGCACCTTCACACATCCACTACAGACCTGCAGTGCGCATTATCGAGGGCAGGAGTGCAGGGAATGCAACTTACTGGAAGTTGAGGTGATGATACAATTTCCCCCTAGAGGCAACAGGAGCCTTAATTTTTGGACGGAAGGACTTCTGCAGCCAAAGCTGTATCGAGTACAGGAGTGCAGAGAGAGTGGAAATTGCTGGGAGTTGAGAAGATACCCTTTCCCGCCGCCAGAGGTAAAAGGAGGACGGAAGGACAATTGGCTCCCAAATGGAGTGTGCATCAAGCAGTTACTTCTGCTGCCAAACACAGCCTGCAAAAATTATCCATGCCCATGCAGTTACAAAAGTTGCAGTTGAGACAGCAGTCAAGTCAGACTAAAACGAAATGCATCTTTCTCTCAATCAGCTGTGTTTGCCAGGCACAATCACTACAGCACAGTAGAGTGTGACCTTGTGAACCGTTGCCGGCCATTGGTTGTAATTTCGTCTGGCAATCGGATGGGTCCACCACCACACACGGGCAGCTGCTTTGGCAGAGGAGGTTCGGCCTTATTTTTCTTTCTGCGTGCTGACAAGTGTCACGGCTCCAGAACTCTCCAGATATTTAACCTCCTTCAAGTACCTCAGAAACAAACACCGACCGCTGTCCTATCCACGAACAACAACTTGGTAAAGCGCTCAGGGAATGGAATTATTTAGTGATGGCATCGGGGTTGAAGAGCCACTCAATCATTTTCATTCCCAATGTCGCTACGAAATGCGACCTCAGCGCATGCTCCGTTCCCTGCAGCAGAACTGCTAGGCCAACGCCATCACAACTTGATGATGGATGCTGAGGAGCATCGAGAGTGAAAAGATACAAAATCAATTTCATCCCCAATGCCGCTATGAAATGCTACCTCCGTGTATGGCCCTTTCCCTGGACGAGAACTGATCTAGGCCAGAGCCGCCACAACTCGACATTGCTGATGATGGTAACGTGGGGTAGGAGCAGCGGGCGGCTACGCCTTGAAGAGTTCAACAAGCCCCCTGACGAGGAAGGTGGCGCCATCACAAACTTGCTGTCGCTGAATATGATACACAAGCAGTTAACAGGGACCCCCACTTTTCAACCCCAGGTTGACCCCTCTGACACTGAAAAATGGCATGACAAGGTGTCTGAAATTTTGGGCCTCCGTTAACCTTCTCTCCACTTTCGGGCAGCAGTTAGGGGCTACGGTCTCATAAAGTGCGGCATCACCTGTCGGGCAAGCGTGTATGGATATAAGAACAAAAGAAACAGGAGGGTGGCCTGCTTGAGAACTCCCACGAAAATAAAAACATGCAATCGCAGCAACGCCATTCTGCAGTCTCAGAAGTCGGGTTCACTCCGTTTGCCTGAGAAAGCCTGCAATTTCGTTTGCTCAAGATCTCAGCACTGAAATTGCAAACGGAGTGTTCCATGGATGACTCTTGCGCATGTGTCCGAACTGATGCTTGGGACTTAACCGTGCGCTGATTTCTGTCAGTCAGTGTATAGGGATGAATCTCCAAGTTCAAGTTCTGGGTCATGGAGACGGACTTGCTTGTTATTGTGGAATAACACAGGGACAGGACTCGAATTTGGGCTGGCAGACGGAAAAGGTAAAGTCTTCGGTGGACAGACTCGTAAGTCAGACTTGATAGGAACACAAAAGAAGTGAATCTGTAGAGGCCGTAAGCCCGGACAAGGAATGAACTGCTACACCTCAAGGGTACTTTACCTCTGTCGAGTAGTATGCGTACGCAGACGAACTTCAGAGCACTACCGGTAGTATACGTCAAGCACCCGGGTAGAGGATTGCAGATCAAGATTGAAGAGTCGCCATCCTCACCACCTTAATGAGGCAGTAGGGCAGCCGGGGTAGTTGGCGCCTAGAGGTTGGCGAGCTACATCGCCGACTGAAGAGTGGCCATCCCCATCTCGCCTTAATGAGGCGGTAGGGCCGCCGGGGTACTTGGGGCCTAGAGGTTGGCGAGCTACATGGCCGACTGAGGGAGGAGTCGCCGTACTTGGGGCCTAGAGGTTGGCGAACTAGATGGCTGACATCACTACATACCCGAGAGAGGACGGAGGTTGCACGCACTTGCTAACGGTATGCCCAGCGATTGCGGTGCTGTGCTGTTTGTAGGAACTACCATTTTCACTGGAATAGAGCACACGGTCAGTATAGCTGTATTTTGGGCAGCTTTCAGCAGCAATGACCATGCGTTCTATTCGGGTGGGTGAAGACGGTGGCCGGGTACTGAGCTCCAAGGGGGCAGCAGCAGGCATGGGGCAGCAGTACAGCTGTGAGTGAGGTAAGAATTCTTCCGTTTCTTTGAGCACTCTATATACACGTTTATAAGGTAATTTTGTGCAATCAGCTGCAGTCCTGTCCGTCTTCTTGATCTGGAACCTCATACCACATGGTCCACAAAGCCTAACCAGGTGAAGTGGGGAGGAGAAGGGAGAAGGGGGGAGGAGAAGGGAAAAGGGGGGAGGAGAAAGGAGGAGAAGAGAGGAGGAAGGGGGGAGGAGGAGGAAGCGGGGAGGAGAAGGGAGAAGGGAGAAGGGGAGAGGAGAAGGGAGAAGGGGGAGGAGGAGGAGTAGGAGGAGTCCAACGAAAGTATGCTTACATACCAGAAAAGCGCATAGAATTCCTAACCCAAGGCATATTCCAAATCCGTACATCCGCTGAAACATAAACAAGAGACAACAGAAGTAAACAGGAAATTGTCATCAGTTAGAAAAAAAAAATCTTCAGATCTTCTTTTTTGTTTTTCATAAGGTTGTCGTTTGCGAACATGACGAAAGCGGCAATGTTCTGTTTGACACATGCGTGCTTCCTACAGAGAAAAGAGCACACAGCTCAGAGACATCGTTAAACTCCAGGTTTGTCACAAACACGGTAAAAAAAATGTTGTGGCCAACCCTTGGAATTCTGTGATTCTGTGATGGGAGAAAAGAACGGCCATGGAGCTCTTTTTACAGACACAACCAATGCCAAAGAACAAGAATAGCCCAGCTCATCAACTTCCACTTCCACGAGAGCGGCAGAAACATATTCAGTTCTCCATTTCTTTCTCGCAAATTGGCTCAGCTAGAGGCAGAAACTTGAAATGCATTTGACTTGTTGTTTTCCGCTCTGTCCTCTGGATGACGCAAATTGGAATATATTCAGTTACTGTGTCATCCAGAGGACAGAGCGGAAAACAACAAGTCAAATGCATTTCAAGTTTCAACTCTCACATTCTGCAACAGTTCTTTCCTATTCCATAATGTGACAGGTTAGGACAGCGCTCAGATGAATGTATGGTGGCTGCAGAAAAATCGAAGCGTTCCCCAAGAGCTGACCATCTGGTTTGTGTGGCTTTTCTGCCTTGAGGCAGGGGTTTCCTTTTTTACCCCAGGGTTGGGGCTGTCGGTCGGTGCAGCGGTCTGATGTTGGGGCCAATTCTGCAAGTGGACACTTTCGCCCCAATGCCTGCACCTAAGCTGGGAAATGGTCCTAGTCATCCAGTTAGGCTCATCCGACCTCTCTTCTTTTTGGGGAGAAGTGCCATTTTCTGGGATCCCACTTCTTCCCGCTTTCTCAGGTCTTTCCGTAGGTCTCAGAGGGGAGTGGAAACAAATACGTAACGTATGTGGCAGTTTGTCCCCCACTCACGCTGCTCTAGTTCTACCAAAAACCAAACGAGGAGGATGGCCGTCCCTGTTCCTAAAAAGAAGGCCAGCATTTTTATTTTGTATTTCAGTATCCGGTGGGCTACGTGGTCCTCTCCCCTGTTTGACAGCACGTTCCTTTCCCCTTGGGCCGCCGCCAAAATCATAAAAGTCCCGCTATTGTCGGCCAAGTAGGATCCGAAATCACTTTTCCGTTCCTCAAGGGGCGGGCCCGCCCAAAGGCGGTTCTTTTTGGTGCTCCCCGAAAAGAAGAGAAGTCGGATCAGGCCCTTACTCTCCGAGTTGACTGTTGAGGAATTCCCGACCTCACCCCGTTTTTTGAAATGCAGTTTTGTTGTTAAAAAAAAAAAAAAAAACTGACCCTGACAGTAGCGTTATACATCCCCCTGCAAAAAAAAGTCCCGCTATTGTCGGCCAAGTGGGATCCGAAATCACTTTTCCGTTCCTCAAAGGGCGGGCGCGCCCAAAGCGGTTCTTTTTGGTGCTCCCCGAAAAGAAGAGAAGTCGGATCAGGCCCTTACTCTCCGAGTTGATTGTTGAGGAATTCCCGACCTCACCCCGTTTTTTTAAATGCAGTTTTGTCCTTCGGGACATCCGTTAAAATTGGAACGATACAGAGAAGATTGGCATGGCCCCTGCGCAAGGATGAAACGCATAAATCGAGAAATGGTCCAAATTGAAGAAAAAAAAAAAAACTGACCCTGACAGTAGCGTTATACATCCCCCTGCAAAACACGAGCTCAGCACAACATAGTTCCACTACGTCATAGTTTCATATACACCATGCTATGCTCTGCTAGGCTATGCTATGCTATGCTATATGACATTCTATG